GCGCGCGGTGCCGGCAGCCGGGTACTGGGGAGGGCGTGGGGGCCCGGGGCGCGCCTCACGTCTGCCCGCAGATGGAGGCTCGGCTGCTGTGTGAGGGCAGTGTGTGCGGGCAGCGGAGCCTCCTGTGTTTGTGTTTGGGGTTTTAAAATGTGGTTCAGCTCGTGTAAGTGCGACCACGTGTGTGTTGAGGGAAAACTCATGTATGCGTTTGTTTGCATGGGTTTTATAGTTGCTTTGCTCTGCTTTCTTTCATCCGGTTTTGGGTATCGCAACGTGTGTTCTGTTGCATTTGTCTTGCTCGGCTGTCATGAAGATATATTCCCCAGATAAATGTATGCATGGGATATAAATCTGTGGCAGCCTGGATATAATTGTGCAGAATGTTCTTTTACTCCTACCCATCTCAGTGCACATGTGTTTGCATTTCTTGAACGCGTGTACTGAGGGAGAGTGATGCAGTTTGAAAAAGCACAGCTTAAAATGTTTCATTCTCTATGGTTAACAACGACGATGCTATTTTTTTTTCATATGCCTGCACCTTATTCCTAATGCTGAACTTGTTTTTTTAACAACTTAAATTCTTCAGCCTGGAGGAGTGTACCCAACAGGCAGAGGGCTCAACCTCTGTGTATTATAGGAGTGTCCGGAATGTACACTGGGTACCGCTCCACTGATAGCCACCGTTTAAGAGAGTGAATAGACGCTCTCAAGGAAGAAAATAGTAAGTAAAACATGGCTCTGAACTTAACAGAGAGTTTGTGACCTACAAAACCTGGGACAGGTGTCGGCTTTCCAGCTACAACTCTTGCTTTGTTGAATTTTCTTTAGACAACTCTTAATCTATTTGACCATGGTCCAAATAGGAATGATAATATTTGTCTTTCCGTTTCTATATTAGATAATAACTGAATGTCTTGGTACAGTGTACAACCAAGAATGAGAGGTTTACAAGTTGGATCAGTCAGCATTGTCTGATGAGAGGAGGCAGTGGTTTGATCCGCACCCTCAAAATATCACCAGGAGAGTCTTTGGGGCTCATAGCCAGGGACCTTAGGTCCTTCTCTGGAGCATACTCTTTTGCAGGTTATTGGAGCTATTCTTTGGACTGAACGGCCTTTAGAAGAGCAGGTGAACATCAGATGCTGCCAACTGTTCTCTCACCCAATATTTGATAATTAGATACAAACATAAGGGCAGAAGTCTGGGAAGGAGTAGGAAAAGGAATCAAGTAAATCTTGATTAGTTCTATCAAGGACCAGAGCTGGCTTTTCCTGCTTGTCTGGCTGAAATACATTTGGGGGGGGGGGGATAAAAAAATCTGAGTTTACATAGAACCAAATCACCAAAGAGAATTAGAAAACCTCCTCCGTGGCACTGCCTGTAGTTTCCAGGAATACTGCTTACCCTAGTGGCCTGAAATAATTAGGCATCTCGCTCAGCATTTTGCCTGGGACTAGGGATTGATTTAGGCCGCTGGGAAAACCAGGGCCTGCGATTTGGCAGCTGCGCCAGAATCCCATTTCTCTGGTAAGGGATATACCAGAATAGAATGAGGATCTAGTATAGATGGATACGGTCCCATCTGTTTGGGGGTTCTATATGATGTGAGAAACAGCGTAATTGGTGAAGCTAATGTTCTTGTTTTTTCCTCTTTTAAATTACTTTGGACTCAAAGGTCAACACTCTTATCCCTGAAGAGCAGAGTTTTTGTTTCTTTGTTTAGGGATGTTTATTTTTGTTTTACAAGTGTAGTGTAACCATTTCTTCTCCTTTTCTAATTAGCTCTCTAACCTCCAGGTACAACACAGAGCAAGTTCCTGGCTTCTGTAATGGATGCCTGTCTTCCTGGACAGTGCAAATGGTTGATGTGCTTATCTGGTAACTGGAAGATGGAAGATTCGAGTAAATAAATGGACACCTCAGGAGAAAGAAATTATCTGCTTCAGCCATTAAACACCATATGGAATATGTTTCTACTCTGACACACACACTGGGTAGTCATGAGTCTGTTGTTATATATGGTCAAATCACACAAGAGGAGATTGGCCGTGCAACAACTGGTGGATTCAAACCAACTGCCTTGGAGTTGGCAGCACAACTCTTTAACCATGAAGCCACCAAAGCTACTTCACTGCAGCTGGTAAATTAGTCTACCTATGGTGGAGGGAAAAAAGATTGTGGTGCATGCACATCTTTGTAGAATATGAGGGGGAGCTCTGGTGGCCTAGTGGCAAGAAGCTGCACTGCAATCCCAGAGGAACA